CACCTACTATTACTATTAAAATAATAATAAATGTCTGATTATAACATAGTTTAAAAAACTATATAGTAACTAAAGCATATTGGAGGTCAGTCGTGACATTACTCAAGTTATAATTCTTGGAACATAGAAAATATATAATGAAAAAACAGTAAAAAATAATATACTATGTTTTATGCTTCATAGAATGAACATTTCAGAGAATCAATTGATATGAGACCGTCTTTTTCAATAACAAAACCGGGTCTAAAACGTGCTGCAGAAAAAAAACAAGTGCGAAAAAACCTATGAAAAAAAGCAGAATAAAATGGTAATATAAATAATATTTATTATAATGATAGCATAAATAATTTACTTTTTTTTTATAGAATGCATCATACAGAGATAATGTTACCGAACGTTTGAGATCAGAAGAATTTGATGTCGAGTTAATTAATTCGCTGACATTTAGACAAGGGGATGGTGTTGTAACAATAAAGACGCTTTGGGTAATTAGCCACTATAAGGTTGCTAACATTGAGAATGTACCATTAAAAGGCAGGTAAATACATTGGTTTAAATTTAAAAACCTATAACCTATTGATGAATCTGTTTTTTTATCACTGATTTTATCTACTTCTTTTGTTTTTAAAATAAAATAATTTGCTGTTATAGATGGAAGTTTAGTGAAGCTACTGTCAGATTGTATACGAGCGACGAATCAAAAGATCAAACGCTTCATACTGGTCTTCATGAGACAATGCAAACCATATTTGACAAATTACTAACCGATCCGAAGCGTTAGACTATTAAAAGCAAGACGACCGTTTGATTATTATATGAAAAAAATGAGTTTCATTTAATAAACAAAATATTATTATACATGCATGTTTTTATTTATTCAAAACTTAAAGGTCTTGGAAAACATAAACCTATTGTTGAAAGTGAAGCTTGACGGACTAATGATGTTAGCATTAATATAATAAGTAATAACACGACAATATGATTATGTATAAGTATAATATATAATAACGTACAACTGGACAATTAAACTGTGACTATACACACACACCGCGTACACTCGGTATGACAGCGTCTGTGCAAGTGAATATTACATACATCAAAGGCCCTATATATATGCACGACCGAGGTCATGTTACATCCGTGAAGAGAGTGAGTCTTAAGGTACGGTTTCCTAGACGCGACCTGTCGCCGCGACATGTCATTAGTAACTGCTTACACGAAAATCATATAGACTGGTTTGCAACGCGCGACAAACCACGACGACCGAACTTTGGGTCGCGGCGACCGACGACACTACTGCTCCGGGAGCAGTACTGCGCGACAAGTCGTCGCGACATTCACAGCGATTGTTGTGAATTTTCAGCAAAACATGGCGTCTACTTTGGTTTTTTCTGCGTCCGAAGACGAAATTCTTATTCAAGAGGTACAAAAAAATTCTGTTCTTTTTAATATTGCAGATAAAAACTATAAAAATATAATATTGAAAGATAATATTTGGAAAGACATATCTTTAAAAAAAACCTTAAAAAAATACCTTAAACCGTCCCGATGCTTAAACATTTCATGTATAGGTTTTCTATTTTTTGGCAATGAAGTAGCACCTATAATTTGGTCTTCTTCTTCTTCTTCTTCTAATAAAAGTGTTAGAAGAATGTTATTATTATTTAAAATATAACTATTCATTGTAAAATTAAATGAAAAAGACGTGCGTACTCGGACAAGTTTGAAAATAAACTAAAAGCGTATGTTAACTACGAACGCTGATTGAAAAGCAGTTCGGCCGCTGCGACTTGTCGCGTCTTGGAAACCACTCTATACAAAATGGGTCGCGGCGACTAGTCGCGGACATCGACAGCGACGACTTGTCGCGGCGACAGGTCGCGTCTAGGAAACCGTACCTTTATGCTCGTACATAACTAGTTACTATATTGTACACACGTGTCAAGGCTGACTACATGTACTACATATTAATTGTATATTTCAACACCCATAAACTATGGTTAGTTGGAAAAAAATTTCTAATTTAACATTGTTATCAACTCTATACCATCAAATTTAATCTACTTTTAAAACATAATATTAAAACTAAAACTTATTAAAACTATTCTTTATGATTTAAGGTGAGATGTAATTAAAATAAAAAGCAAGTTTATGAATAAAAAAGTTTTATTAAAAATAAAACAATAATTATACATGTTTAAATATTTTTATAATATTAGATCTTGTAAAATCATATCGGACAATGTGTTAAAATGGAATTGTAATATTTCATATACAAATGATGTGTCATCGTTCTGTAGGTGATTATAATAATTAAAATCATAGTTTTGAATATATTTTTTGGTAAATTCGTTCCTTTGACAGGTGGACGGCAGACCACGGACATCATTTTTAATCAGGTCATATTATGCAGTGTTGAAAGTATTTTGATAATTTGCTAAACGTTTTTGCTTGTCTACTACGTACAAATCTATCAAATTCTGTAATTGACGAAGCCGGTACAAATCTACATGCGACAAGGTAATGTATTCCTCGTCTAGATGTAGGGTAATTGAACTCTGTTTAACATTGATTGAATATGAAAAGGAATTGGTAATCAGAAATATTTAAACATTAATGTAAAATAAAATCTACAACATGAAGGTTTATGGAATACATCCTGCTAGTCACAATTAATACCTTAGAAATAACTTTTATTTTTTTCAAAAAACTGTAAGTCTCATAGAAATATGTTGTATTTTTATTGATGTATTTTTAAATGGTTTTCTCCAGCATTTGCTATTTGGTACTTTACAAGAATTAAAAACGTAAACAATTTTATCTATAACATTAATTGTACATGTTGACTCTAAGTGTAATTTACCCAATCCTAAGTGAGTGCTCATTAAAGCAGCTTTCACTAAAAATCTATGACTGCAAAATATATTCACATTTTTTCCTTGATTTATGTGTGCATGAGTAAGCTTAGGAACAAATTTTAAATAAAGTTTTCTGTTTGCTCATTGACAAATGCTTTGACGTTTACCGAAATTTTTAATAATTTTTTTATGGCAGATATTATGCCAGCTTCCGGATACAAAAAAGTCATCTTTCAGAAGTGAACAACACAAATGAGTCTTGAATAACATCTCATTAGCACATAAGGTGCAGTCAAGAGCTTCAGTTTGAAAGTTAGACATTTTTAACTTGAAAAGTTAAAATAAAAAATCATTTAATCCAGATGTTATTTCATATTTAAAGCAACTCTTGTTAAAGTTCTTACTTATGGACAAATGAAAGGCAGATTGTTAACGCTAATTGTTTCATATAATTTGTCCATACGGGTTTCTCGTGTTGCATATTGTCTGAGATTGTACTACTGGGTGACAACAAATGTTTTTCACACACCGAGATAAAATTGAGTTTCTTTCTCATTCTGACTTTTTTGCAGACTAGTAAACAGTTTGTACACATTTTAAAATAATTCTAATTATTAGACCATTCTTGTGACAGTTAATTTTGCGCATTCGCTCAATATTTTTTTTTTTAAATGGCACACATATCTTTGACCACAAATTATTTTTCTTTGTATTTTTTAATGAATTTTAGTGGTTGAATTTCTTTTCTAAGGTAAAAAATGCCTGAATTATAGTAATCTGATTTTATGCCATTTACATCCATCTTATTATTACGTATTTATTATTATTGACTTCGTATTTTATAATCTGTTTTACCTTGCCATTTAAAGTAAAAAAAATATTGCGCACATTCGCAAAATTAACTTATATTGTTTTAATGAGAAAAACGTTACAAGACTGTATTGAGCCCCTATTAATCTAACTGGTCCCAAATTCTCATATTGTATTCCCCTGCCACTTCCATAAGGCCTATATGAAAAGTACTCTGATGTATTTATTTCGTCAGATTCGACAGTATTGACTAGATAACACGTCACCATCACCAATCTAAAAGTATAAATTATAATTATATTAAAACTAAACTATTTATATATATTTTTCCTAGAAGCACCTATCATAATCTAATATATGTTATTATTATTTATTATATTTATTTATATTTTTTAATTAAATGATCTCTAGCTATCTTATGCGAAATTTGCATATTTTCTTTTAGATCGAATATATAATCGTCATAATTGTAACGTGGTTCAGGTTCGGCTTTTAATCTAATCGGTACCTCCAACGTACGTCCATAGACTAATGCATATGGTTGAAAATTAGTAGAAGTATGTACCGTTGAATTATATACAAAGAATGCAAAGGGTAGTAAATGATCCCAATTATTTAAATTCTTATCTACATAATGTCGTAAGTACTCGGCTAAGGTCCTATGAGCGCGTTCTACGGGGTTACCCTGCGGTCTGAATGGACTTGTGTTAGCCTTTTCTATCTTCAATATCTTTCAAACATTTGCAAACGTTTTCGAGAGGAAATTAGTTCCTTGATCCGTGAGTATTGTTTCTGGTATACCGTGTACACAAACGAAGTGTGTAACAAAAGCTTCCGCAACAGTATTTGCCTTCTGGTCAGGAAGTGGAATTCCTAAAGTGTAACGCGTCAAATCGTCCTCCATCGTTAAAATGTATACATTATTGGACAGTGTAATCAGCAAGGGCCCTACTATATCCATAAATATTTTTTCGAATGGTTTAGACGAAGTGGATGTTATAGCCATTGGTGGTTTTATGTGCCGATTTGATACCTTATTAACCTGACATGACGCACAATTCCTTATATATTTCTTAACGTTTTTTTTTCATACCCTTCCTTAAGAATTGTTTTTTTTTAATGAGCTTAATGGTTTTATTCACACCTAAATGTTCGCCTAGCACATAGGAGTATTTGTATTATATAACCGATCAAAATTATTTATTGATTTTTTTTTTTTGCAATTTTATCATATATAATATACAATATTTGACCTTAGTTAATTGATTAAACTAAATAATTTTATACATTTGGAAGAAAAAAAAAATAAAGAAAAAAAAACAAGAAAGGACTTTAATTAGAATTATACTGTTTGTCGTCATTTTCTCCATCATCATATTCGTCTTCTTCTTCATCGTCATATTCCTTGTCGTTATCTTCTTCATAATCACCTTCTTCAGTATCTTCCATATTTCTTCCGCTATCACGATCGTCTTCAGTTGGTGGTATTGGTGGTGCGTTTGCGATCATTAGATTGACTGCCTCTTTTGAGAAGGGCTCAGTTTTCTTGTGTTGCCTTTGTCGGCAGTTACTTATATATGGATCTGAACTAAGTAGCAGCATATGCAATATATCTCTGTTGCAATCCACTCGTGAAAATTTTCGAGCGAAATGCAATCTGTATTGCCCATAGTGCTTGTTGCGGGCCTCAGATGCCTCTTCCGATAGCTGGCCAATTGGTAGAATTGCATGAGTTATCAATGCTGCACCATGAACCAAGACTTTGTGTATAGTTGGTGTCATGGGATGCCAACCATACAGATCTATATACATTTTTGCAGTTTCGAGTGCAAATGTATCAAATTTAACAGGATCAATGCAATAGCCACTCGAAATCACTTCAAGTATAATTTTGAATTTAACTATCAAATCTAAATTGATTCCAATTATCCGAGAAGAACATTCCGGGTTGGCAAAAAATCGTCTTGAAGTGTTTCCGTCATTGGTATTCCCAAATCCCGCTTTGGGAATATCTACCAAAAGTCCCATTTCATCTTTGAAGTTTCTTTGTATTTTTTCTTTTGTTTCCTTGACAACTTTTTTGTCTTCGGGAGATCGTGCTTGCCACTTTTTCAGTGGCAATTTATAAGCTACATGAAGAAGCGATTCGAAAAATCGAATTCTAGCATGAAGAATTGATAGTCCAAACTTCAGTGATTCTACATTAATTTCTTTTGGTTGGATTAATTTATTAAAATCTTTCGAAGTTTGTCCACAAATGAAGCATCTCATGGTGGAAGCAGTATCGGTGGCTGCATTGCACACTTTCCCGTCAACCATTGTTAGTATCATTGTATGCTTTATTTTGACTGTTCCATTAGGAGTGGACACCTCTGTTTTTGTTAGGGTCTCGATTTGGTTTTCGATGTATCTTATTTCATCTTTAGTTACTAATTTAGATTCAGCGATGAAACGTATACGTATTGGTCTGCAGAATCTAGTAGAAGAAGTAACTGGGTTCTGCCATATAATTTTGATATCTTCTCCATCAATAATAACAACTTATCTTAAAGGAACAAATGAGGTTTGGAAAATATTTGCGTCACTGTCCTTGCTGTTTTGAAATTTTTGTTTGTACTGGGTCTGTTGCGATCCGTCACAACCCCATTTTGATAATAAAACCATATTTTTCTTTTCTTCTTCTGAACACGTTTTTACCACCTCTTCAACATATTTGTACAAACGCAATGCTGTATGGTCAAGCAGGGCTTGAAGTTGAACTTCGGAACAGGTTTCAGTCACTGTTATCGATTCCTCCATAGGGTAACATTCCGTTTTGGCTTTTTTTATCAATGAGTAGCAGGGATAAATGTTTTTGCTAGCACTTTGTATTACTTCCCACTGTTTTCTGGTGAAGTCTCCTTCTACAAAAATCGCTAGTGCCTCTTGTGGTGTAAATTTTTTAGTTATTAATTGCTTTTGAGCAGTAGTAATAAATTTACGACATTTTGTTGCTCTGGTTGGTGTGGTAGTCACGTATTTAATTAACTTTGCCGCGTTATTATTTCCTGATGTGCGCTGACTTACACTAGCTGCATATGTCAACTCCTCAACTGATACCTGCTCACGTAGATCTTTAGTTTTTCTGCGCTTACTACAATCACTTAGCTCTTTGAATGCTTTGGATGGTCGTCCGGGTTTCAACGTCGTTGTTGGCTTTACAGGCCAGTAAGGCAGTTCAATCGATGATGAGAGCCAATTTTCGTTGTTTTTTATGAAACGCTCGTCAGGTCCGTTACGCTGGCACCCGCATATTAGAAATTTCAATCGAAATTTGCGTCAACGATTGTTAAATCATTTGTGCAGGTTTGTAACCACAAAATTTTAATTTGTACAACCTCCCAAACACCGCAAAATACGTTATAAAGAAAGCGGGTGCCAGCGTAACGTTACTCCAACAACCGCTTTTTGAAATATTTAACTTAAACACCCCAAATCTGCGTCAACGATTGTTAAATCATTTGTGCAGGTTTGTAACCACAAAATTGTAATTTGTACAACCTCCCAAACACCGAAAAATACGTTATAAAGAAAGCGGGTGCCAGCGTAACGTTACTCCAGCACCCGCTTTTTGAAATATTTAACTTAAACACCCCAAATCTGCGTCAACGATTGTTAAATCATTTGTGCAGGTTTGTAACCACAAAATTTTAATTTGTACAACCTCCAAAACACCTGAAAAATCCATTACAAAAACGCGGGTGCCAGCGTAACGTTACTCCAGCACCCGCTTTTTTAAATATTTAACTTAAACACCCCAAATCTGCGTCAATGATTGTTAAATCATTTGTGCAGGTTTGTAACAACAAAATTTTAATTTGTACAAATATGTATTATTTATACGTTTGTCTTACAGTGTAATGTAATATAGTATTATATTTATATAATCTATTATATAAAAATCTCGTGTCATAGTGTTAGTATACGAACCTCTCCGTCTCGAACGATCTTAAAGATATTTTATTTGTAATAATTTCTTGTTATGAGAATAGGTAGTTAAGTATTTTTTAAGTTCCTAATACACTACCACCACCCGGAGAGGTGCTAACCTAACGGGGAATTTAATTGTTGAAAATTCCCTACCAAGGGGGATGAGTTGCACTTTGTCCGCTATCCGACATAATATGGCTGAGTTGCATTTACCTACTGCAGCAAGTTACATCTAAAAGGAGTTTAATACAGAACACTGAACAATCATAATTTTTTCATTAGTTCCCATTTATTACGGGCATCGAAGTATGCAGGAATGCGGGATCAGCCAGTTATATATAATATTTTGATATTATAAGACTCAAAAATATCAACAAGCGTATTATTGCTTTTATACTAATTATAATAAATAATATGTTACATGCCATGATTGTCAAAATAAAATTCTTATCCGTGTGTCACTACTCTATTTATTATTTTTATATAAAAAGAAGTTCTCTGCTTTATAAATAGTATTGTTATTTGTGCTCTATTATGTGTGATAAGATAAAACTATTTTGGAGTTGTTGATGCCTATATATATCTACTAACCGTGGTGGACGTCTTGTCCGATTAAAAAAAAAAAAAAAAAGTAAAATTGGCCGGTGTGTACCGCGACCCGTTGCGGCTTCCCAACCTGTTAGCCATTGGTTGTCAACCTATACCGCATACAGCGCGGGGGTCGCAGTACCGCGCGCCCGCGCGTTATGTGAACCACTGAAGAGAAACGGCCGCTAGGTTCGCGACGGTCATTGGCCAATTATCATGTCTCGGACTTTTTTTTATATACACCAATATTATTAATATCTTTATCGTTTATCAATGATGATAGTATTGAAACTCATGCTTATAATATTCATTATCATTTGACAACATTGATTTAAGTACCTCGTTGTTATTTTTTATCGTGTCAGTGATTTGTATGTGGCGGACTGCGTGTTATATTATTATTTAGACTTTTAAAGTATAAAGTTATTATTTAAGTAACTCGTATTGTTAAGATTTTAAAAAAATTCATGAGGTAAGTCTATTAAATTACCTAACTATTAAATTAAGATTTTTTGTAAATTATAATAGTGTAATAAATTTTTTGTTTTCATTTTATGCTAAAGATGGGTCGTAAACCAAAAGTTGCTGCATCTATTCTTGAAACTCATATACTTAAGTATCAGGCTGAAATCGTAAAAGATGACGGTAAAAGTAAGTTATAATTTTATTTATCTGTAGAAAATAAACATAATTAACAAAGACTTAATTTAGTGGTTATTTCCTATATACCCTGAACCATTTCACTAACACACAATGTTTACTTCTTTGTATTTATACTCATGTTTATGATATTTCGTAATTTGAAACTAATTAATTTATTATATATGTTTCATCACGATGTTATTAAACTATTTACTCCTAAATATAATTTTCAAGACTCGAATAAATAGTTATTCGTTATTCCCGTACTCGTCGCTCGTGCCGACGACGCCTCTCCAGCATACCGTTGATATCATTAGCTTCATTCGATTTGTAAATTTTCTTTATAAATTCAACATAACAAATTAGTGTGGTATTGCACTAACTTTTATCCGTTCAATTTGATTTCAATTATATACTTAATATCATTGTAAAAGAAAAACGATTTTGAGGGAAGACGGTCAGTCACCTTATGATATTACTAAGTACATTTGCTGATATTATTGTGAATTAAGTAATTTACTATAGTTATCATAATAATAACTATAGTAGCTTTCGCAAATCAAAAGAAACATAAAGGTACAGATGGTATATAATAAGATAAAATACAAAGATTTGAAACTTCTCTATAAGCATTCAGCATAGCTTGTGCTGGGGAGATTTAGTGTAATTCAAATATTGACAAAAATAAACATTTCTAAAATATAACTAAAAATTACATAATTTGTGATTAACCATAAATTAATTTGTGTTAGATCAACATTATTTTAGCAACATTTCAAATCATTTACATTTTTAAAATAATTGGGTATTTCTATCAGATGTTTTTATTTATTTATTCTAATTATTCTAAATTATTTTATTACAATTAAAATTGAACTTTTCATGCCAAAATATTTATGGTAAAGAGGTAGGTTCATTTAGATTAATATTTATGTTTTAACGTGTATTATAAATATGATTAACATAAACAGTATTATTTTTAAATTTATGAAAAGACAGTAATAAATTCTTATAGCATGGACATTATTATACATTAAGTAGATTAAAAACATTGTATACAAATTCATTGTTAGTAAGCCTAGGTATATTAAATTTAAATATACATTTAATTACATTATTTAATGTAATATTTAAAGAATGAAGATGAGACTCGAAAAGACAATATCATAAAATAGATTGAACTAAAGCTAAATAAATTGAATAAAAAAATTGTCAAATAGTATTTGTCAGATTATTAATATGATAATTCCATTTAAGTTTATAATAAAGTGATGCCTAAATACTTAATATATCCTTCGTCTACTAGCACTTATCTTGCCTTCTATTTTTTCTTGAAGTATAAGTAGCAGCAATCCATATCTATGATTATTTCTCAATATATGACCCAGGTATTCTAATTTCCGTGTTCTTATAGTCTTCAGTAATTCTAAATCCTTTTTTATTATTTGTAGTATGCACACGTTGAATACTCGGTCTGCCCATAAGATATTTAGGATACTGCGGTACAGCCACATTTCCAATGCCTCAATTTTCTTACTCAATGTTTCAGTTAATGTCTATGTTTCTATACCATATTATAATAAAATAGGAAATATATAACATCTTAATATTATAATCTTAGTGCCAAGTGAAAAATCATAACATTCTTAAACATTTTCACGAATGCACCTCTGGCCATCTCAATCCCATGTCCCCAGTCTTCTTTTACGCATGTACAGAGATTTATACTTTTGACCTTTTCTATTTGTTGTCCCATAGTAAAATTAATAGTTTTTCTTTAAATTTTGTTTTTTTTTTAAATTACTTTATATTTGGTTTTGCTTATATTTATAGACAACCCAAAACTTTCACTTACATCCACTATTCTATCTACATTTTTTTAGAGGCTTAACATATTATTCGTGAATACAACTGTATCATCGGCGTATCTTATGTTGTTAATACATTTGCCGTTTATTTTTATGCCGTCGTTAACATCATCCAAAGCTTCGCGAAGTATGAATTCAGAATATAAGTTAAATAAAAGTAGTGAGAGGATGCATCCCTGTCTCACTCCTCTTTTTATTGGAATATCGTTTGACATTAATTCTTCTTCTACTCGTAAAGCAGAAGTTTGGTTCCAGTATAAATTGCTTATTATACTCGGGTCTTGATTGTCAATTCCAGTCACTTCTAGTATTTTTATAAGTTTGTCGTGTTCAACTCTATCGGAAGCCTTCTGATAGTCAATGAAACAAGCATATACACCGTGATTAATATTTATAGAAAAAAAAACTGAAAAATTGAAATTTGAAATTCTCTGTAAACAGTTCAAAACGAGTCAAAATATTTTCAAAATTGTATGGTGTACAGAAAAAGAAAATATAAACATTCATTCAACATTTCATCTAAGGTTAAGTGTTTTAGAATTACACCAAAAACCCAAATTGATTTGGCGGAAAATCGATAGCCAGATACAAAAAAAAAAAAATATATTAAAAAACACATAATTGTAAAATCAATAAATTCATTCATCGCTCCACTCAAAATCCAAAAAATGTGCTGGATTGTAACATTATTTTGAATTTAAAAAATTTACTACATTTAGTAATATCCAAATACCTATAGTAATATAGTAGGATGACTACCGTCTTCGCTGAGAATCGTTTTTCGTATACAATGATATTATAGTATCATTGAATTCAAATTTAATACCATCAATTACAGTGGCTCACTTGTAACCTACTGGTACAGCAGAGTGACATTCACTCCCCCACCTTTTTATTATTGAAATTTAGATTTTTGTCCTCAAATTGACTTTTTTAACAAAATAAGATTTTCAATTTATCCATTTTGACATTTTATGTCTTTGCTTTGGCACATAGAATCGAAAAACGTTAAGTTATTTATTTATTTATTTATCTATTTGTTTCTAAATGGTTGCCATTGGTTTTAAAACTATTATAATAATAATTATTGGTTGCCGTGAAATCAGTGTATTAGAAATAGAAAAACGTTACGTTACATCAATCACCGTTGTGACCTTATTAACCTTGGTAACCATGGTAATTTTTTTGATTTTTCAATGTGGTGTTACTGCAAAGACATAAAATGTGGTACTTCATTGCAGACTCGTATGCAATATGTTAAGGTGATTTTAAACATTGTTATTACCTACTTTGACTATACAAAAACGTCAAAAACATAATATTAGTTTACAACAACAACAATATTATTTTTATTCTAATTAGATATTTTTATCTATTTCATATTTTATTATTTAATATAGAATTATTTTTTTTAATTCATTCCATTAAGTCCAATTTATCAAACAATGATTTTTATCTAATTAGAATAAAATAATCCAAATTATTAAAAAATCTAAAATTAATAAAAAAAAAGTGGGCAAGTGGGTGTCGCTCTGCTGTACAGTAGGTTACAAGTGGGTCACTGTATAATGGATGGTATTAAATTTGAATTCAATGATATAATATCATTGTATAAGAAAAACGATTCTGAGCGGTGACGGTATGTCAGTTTATGTATAAGACATATTATATACATATCTATGGTATTAAACAAAAAATTGACCTATAATAGGTACCTATAATAAATTCCAAATTAATCATATCACAATATCCATTAGATACTTATAACGCGTTATACATCAACAAAAACCGTGATACTATCATAGATATAATATAATAGTACACTTTAGAAGTTTCAAGTACCCACGAATAATATTATTCAATCACAACAAAATAACTAAAATCGTAATTCTTGGTTTAAATATGAAATTTTGTCTAAATTTGAAATTAAAATGTCTGTAAAAAATAAGTGTGTTTATATATTTTTTAGATTTTTTGGTTACAGTATGAATTATTTAAGAGAATCTTAGTTTTAAATTTTCAACTCTTAGTTATAAAAACTGAACATTTTATAATTTTTTAATTCCAACGATTGATAATTTTCGAGATTTTGATAAATTTTGTCAAAATTCCAACTTTAAATGCTTATAAAAAAAAACTGTGCCTATGTATTTTTAATATTTTTCAACTGATATTGTAACAATATAGGAGTATAGTATTAAATTTTTACACTTTTTGGCCGAACAGATAAAACTTAATTGATATTTAAAGAAAAAAAAAACTAAAGAAAATTGAAAGCGGTAAATGTCCGTAAATAGCTCAAAAAGAGTCAAAATATTTTCAAAATTGTATGGTGTATAGGAAATGCTAATTTAAACATTCAGTGAAATTTTGATGTATCTACATTTATTTGTTTTTGAATTACAACAAAATAAGGAAATCGCTACATGAGAAATCGAGTGAATATCCAATGTTGTAAAAATTTGAATTTCAAACGCTCATAAAAATTTAATTTGACTTTCTTTTAGACATTTTTGTTTTGATAAAGGTAGATATTCTTATAAGGAATCTTGTATTATATTTTCAAATCTTAGATTTAAAAAGAAAAATTTTTACGAATTCTTAACTCAAAATAATTTGCTAATTTTCGTGATTTTTCCATATTTTGTCAATTTTTGAACTTTAAATGCTTATAAAAAAAAATTGTGACTAAGGATTTTTAATATTTTTCATCTGCCTTTGAAACAATATATTAGGAGCCTTCTATTAAATTTTCAAACTTTCGCAACCAACAAATAACATTTTATTGATATTTTTAGAAAAAAACTAAAAAAAAATGGAAAATGAAATTGTCCCTAAACAGTTCAAAATAAATCAAAATATTTTTAAAATGTTATCGTGTATAGAAAATGCAAATATAAACAACCAGTGAAAGTTTCATGTATATACGTTCATTTGTTTTAGAGTTACGCCAAAAACTAAAATCGATTTTTTGGAAAACCAATTTTGCGTAAAAATTCCCGTTTTTCCTTAATTTTTATGTTGTTTTTCCCGGCGCTTGTGAAAACTACTGGAAAACTACATTAGGCCCCCCAAAGTACCAACTAGATTCACTTTCCTATCAGAAAAGCTGCTGATGAAGAAAATCCAAGCTCTTTTACTGTCCTAAAACGTGATGACAGACACAAAAAAAAATTAAAATTAAAAAAAAAATAAAAAAACACACATCATTGTAAAATCAATACATTCATCGTTTCACTCAGAATCTAAAATTATTAACTAAATAAAAATCCTAAATTAATAAAAATAATATTTTTTAATAACTATCGTAAATAAGTAAACGTTTTTATACAGGTATAGCCGGTGTGAGCGCAGATGTATGGAAAAAAATTTCCGTTGAAGTTAGTTCTGGCTTAGAAAATGCAGTAACACCAGGATCCATTCGAATACGTGTTTCTCGAAATGATGGGGATATCCAAAGTAAACTTGGCTTAAAATTAATTAATAAGACCTTTCAAACAAATTTACCGTTCGCAAACCCCACTAATCGTAAGTATATAAATTATTCTATTTGATATAATTAATTATTTAATAATTGTAACAATTATGAATAATTTACTTCCAAATTAATTAAAAAGCTACCGAATACGATGGCACTGATGATTCTACGGAAGAAGAACATGGTGATAAAAAAAAGCTGACATTTAATGTTACATTTTCAATTGAAGAATGGAGATTAATTCAACCTCGCGAAAAAGTGTACCATGAAAAAAGAGGACCAAGAACGTACAATATAATGACACCGTTTGAATGGAGTAACGTTGTTCAAGATCATTTTTTCCTACATACTCGGTTACCTTGCAGTCTTTCATTTAAAAAAGCAAATGTCACTATGTCTGGAGTAAATTTTTTGACATTAAATGGCCGATGTTCAGAGTGTGGATCTTTTTTCAAGGAACTATTGACTCAGTGCCAGCTGTAGATACTCGGTTGGTATAAAATATAAATTAGATGTATTTGATTCACATTAAGTACAATAATAAATTATAACCTGATCTTATGCATAATGTTTTATTTTAATTGTATAGGGTCATTATGGATTGCGTATACATAGGGTATTTTCGCGATAGACATTTTGGAAAAAGGAGATTGATGGGCTCCAATAAAGAAAGTGCTTTAAAATCGATGATTCAAGAGCATAATGATCCATCCGTCTACATAAGGAATCAAGCGCACACCCTTATGAGAGAAGGTAATTTGTAAATAAACATACGATTAACAACTAACACACAGCTTATAAGTTAACAAAAAGTTTTAATTTTTAAATGATGGTCATATTTTAAGTAGTCACTTAAATTTTCAGGAAAAGCCCAGAATATAATTATTTAATATTTTACACTGAAGTTTGTTTGGTGTCTACATTTTTTTTATAACTATTAAATTGGAAAAATAGCAAAATAACTTGTAAAAAAACAATATTTTGTTTAATTGATGATCATTTGAGATAGGAGTATTAATATACATAATATTTTACACTATTTAACTGTTATTGTTAGTAGAGCGTTTATAGGGGAGCCCCTGGAGCAATACGCTGATTTAACACTGTGATCCTCCATTACCAGTTTCCATATCTTATTAGTAATCAATTCCTATCAGTGGTTTTCATTTTCCCATATCAGCTATAACCCCGTGACATTCATTAACACTGCCAACACTAAAACATATTTCAAACCAGGTAACACCAACGACGATTCAATACTAGACAACAAACTTTGAGGATAAATCATAGGAAGGTAACAGAGGATCATCAATCTGATATGTTTAATTTCTTATATATCATGACAATTTTCATAAGATCCACGAGTTTCTTATTTCAATGTACCACTTTATAAAATATTGAGCTGTTGAGGTTGAAGCTAAAAATTATGAGTGTCAATATTTTATTGATATTGGTAAATTCTGTGGTGAATTAGTTCTTAAACTGTGAGTCACTCCTATATTGATGTGACAGGTGGAAATATAATAATTGGTTTTTAGACTACCTATTAATGTAATCGACTATGATTTTCAAACTTTAACAAGAAGATTTTAATTTTGAAAAACTTGAAATGCTAAATATTTGTTTAAAAAACTGTGTGAAAAATGAGAGTTGGAAATTTTTTTTGCCTCCCACACAGTTGTTTACAATTTTTTAAAAATTATATAAAATGAAATGGGTGTGGACTGTGAATGAGTGCTTAGAAGTGGTTCTCAACCTTTTTTAGTTCACGGCACACTATTATACACCACAAGTTTTAACGGCACACTCACGCACTTGACAACCACAACAACTTCAAGTTTCTCACTAGTAATTTAAAATGTATTCACTTTATGATATAAATATTCTTTTGTTTACTTTAAATAATTTAGTTCTTTAAATATTATTATGCTGCTGTATTTTTAAAAATAAATGTCACGAAATAAAACACTGTTTTCAATATTTAATAACATTTCTCGCTGCACACCTAGACAATCTCGCGGCACACTAGTGTGCCGCGGCACACCGGTTGAGAACCATTAACAAATAAAAAGCCCTAAAATTCTAAGCCTTAGAAGTAAGAACCCTACGTTTTTCGAGATTCTGAGCGGAGTGATGAATGTCTTGGATTTACAGCTATGTGTGTATCTATTTTTTTTGGGCCTGTCGGAAACCTATTGGAACACTTAATATACATCAATCTAACTTTAAGGCTGTTGAAAGATGGTAGTTTCGTTATTGTTTTTCCCGCATTTAGAACAATAAGAGGAAGAACATATTAAACAGTACCAACATTTTAATTTTAATTTTTAAAGTACCAATAGTTACTTACTTAGTTCTACTAAGTCTAATTAGTACTTATAATAATATTAGTATATTAATTTCTTGTTCACATATTTTGTACTGATTTTGTAGGAAATTGTACGATCATTCGCGATATATTTCAAAAATACCTTACAACCAAAAAACGAATATTCCTTATATGCCCTTTTTATTTTAATTAATTATTCTTAGAAATCTATCAAATATAAAAATGTATATAATTTGTATATCAATATATAAATATTGGCGATGTTCTGACACGGATTGGACAATCTATTTGCAATTTTCCCCTTATTTGCAAATTCTATAATGTTTTTATTTATTTATTAGGTGACAATATACCTGCTCAAATACCTACTGCTAACGCTTTAAGAGTTCTTAAGTTTAGAGCAGTAGCAGCTACAAGACTTCACGCTGATCCAATTACGGCGTTACAATTGATGAAAGATAATAGTCCAGTTTCAACATCAATTCACGGTATCGGTCTGGATAAATTTTTCGTTCATTTTTGGAGCCCGTTGCAATTGCAAATTTATAGACAATGTCACAAAGAATTTAGTACACCAACAATTTCATTTGATGCTACTGGTGGATGTTGCAGAAAAATTCAAAGAGATAAATCTGGTCCAATTTTTTTGTATGAAGGTGTCATGCAATTAAAAAATAGAAGTTTTACGGCCCTTTCGATGCTCTCGGAAGAACATGACAATTTGTCCATATTAGTATGGCTTAAAAGGTGGTTAAGATGTAATGTCAAACCACCTAAAGTAGTAATTAGTGACCAGTCTCTGGCTTTGATGTCTGGCCTAGTACAGGCATTTACACAATATTCTTCTCTCGACAGATATTTAAGCGCATGCTTCTCCATGGTTATTAAAAATGAAGACGTAGAAATACCTTTATGTTACATACGAAATGATGTGAACCATTTTATACATCTTGTAACAAAGTGGGGTCCGATAAAAAATTCCATTTATCCAAGCACAAAACAAATAATTACTAGGACAATGGGATTACTTGTTCTTTGTACATCAATTAAAGATACTGAGATGATATTAGAAGCATTATTTGATATAATTTTAAGCAAATACGATGGAAATATTGAGGGCACAGATGCATGGACTCCTTGTTATATAGCCAAACGATATTTGCAATCTTTAGTAACAACTAGTGTCTTAAATTTAGTAGAACCTGAAGAAAGTTATGAACAAGATCTGAACAATTCAAATAGAACCCTTACCAATGAAGATTACGATGCTGATGATGAAAACGTATATAACGCCAGTACATCTTTCAAAGATTGGGCACAATCTATTGCTGACAAGTCTAGGTCAAAAGTTGAATCAGTAAAGGGAATCTCTGATAATGCACAATATCTACTTGCGCTAGAGCCAATTATAATAAGAACATTTAAATTATTTCCCTGTTGGTCTGCAATAATGAGAAAAAAATTTGGGTTCGGGGAAGAAACTGCCTCTAGTAGCAGGATTGAAAGTAATTTTAATCATATTAAAAATCGCGTGTTCAAGAATAGTAATTTGCCTCTGAGAGTAGATTCATTTGTAGAACAACTGATAGCGTATTATAGAGGTGATCACCTTTTATTGCAAGGAGGAAACGATGATCATTTGATAACTCGTAGCGATGAAGGCTCTCAAGATAAAAATGATAACATCGCATTTGAAGATGAAAACAATTTTAGTATATCCCATAAACATAATAATGATGATTTAATATCAATTTTAAACGATGACTTAAGTAGTGGTAGCCATTATATTTTTGTGGATAAAAATAATATTAACTCATTCCAAATGCACTCTGACGATGACTTGATGACACGTGACAACGAACGCTTGTGTAATGGTAGTGGTCTTAAGTGTGATGAGCAAAATAATATTAGTAATAGTTCAACGGACGATTCATCATTATGTTCCTACAGTGCCATTGATGAGATCGACGAACAACCGTCTTTTAGCAGTTCAGTTTCTGACTCCAGTTCTAATATTAGCCAATGCCAAGCATGCAGAGTTGGAAATCTTCCAACGGGTCTTCACAAATGTGCACAGTGTGATAAATCTGTTCATATTTTGTTTGGTTGCTCCATCAGAATTCCTGGCACGACTGAAGGTTGTGGTGAACCGAGAATTTGTCTTGATTGTGATAAGAAGAACTCGGCGATAGCTGAAAATAATGCAACAGAAAAATGGAATAGAAAAAGAAAGCTTTAAAATTCAAGATCATCACGTTCCTATCTTGTTCGACAGCCAGGATTTGAATTTTTAGACCTTAATAAGAAAGGATCTATAATTCCTGTAATACTTTTGAAAAATGGGAATCATTTACTCAGTCGACCAATTTCGGTACCTGAGCAAGGAAAATTAATGATAAGTAATACGTGCTCGGTAGATTCGATACTGTCAATTTTAGCGACGTCAGCTGCCGATAGTAGCAGTTATCGAAAATATTTATATAATTTAAAGGAAACGAATTTGACGGCAAGTATAGCATTACAAATGATAACAGAAAAAAAAGTAAAGCAAATTTATTACAATCGAGCATTACTATTGTTACAATTTTTTTCAAGCAAAGTGCAAACATTAGTTGGTGGCTTTAAATTGATTGATACCACTAATACTGCTGCATCAATGGTCAATAAAATAATGGATGAAATGCCTTCATTCGTAAAAACTAGTGTCTGTAATAACAACTTTTGTTCCGTGCCTATGTTGGAAGTCAAATCTACTCAATTATCATTAAATGTTTACGATGGTCAAATTAATTTATCGAGGGATCTATTGGCATATATTGAAATTTCTGAAGAGAATTGCTCTTTCTGTGTTAATAAAAGAAGCGTTACAGTAGCAGCCACTGAACATATAATGATTGAATTGAACTCTATTCCCTCTGGTAAATATTATCGGAAATTACCGTCTATATTTTATAATTAAAATCATATATAAAACAATGCATTTTAATGTTAAGAAGATAATGAAACTTTTCAAATCTATATTATGTATTTAATTCAATTTTTGTTTTTTTTTTTAGATCTGGAATTATCAACTAGCACTGGAAATATCGAGATTGTTCCATTACATTTAATAAAACAAAATTTTACGCAACCAATCAAAGCAAAGTTGGACAATTTGGAAAAGTTTTTAACAGTTGGAGATAAGACGTACAAATTAAGAGGAGTGGTGAGTTTCTTTGGAGGTGAAAGGAGAGGATTGCGGAATGCCATGGGCCACTATACTGCATCGGCTTTCAGGGGAAATCACAAATGGGAAACATATGATGACATGAAAAAAAAAGTAGAAAACGCACGAGCATCAACTACAAACGATGAAGAGTTATAGTTTTATAGTGTTTGACGTGTTATATTTTATTTAAGGACTCATTATTATTCAAATATTGATTACATCAATATATTATTCACATAGTTTTTATATATTATAACATTTACAATTATTAATTATGTATTTTTTTAAGTTCTGTACTTATTTAGAAAAAACAAATTGAAGTGACGAAATACTTATTTTTTATTTCAAATTAAGAAGAACAAATGTTAATTAAGAATTATTTATTTTAATTTTTATATTTAGTTTTTATCATATTATAATTTATAAGTACAGTTATTGCCACCAGATTTCCATATTATCAATGAATCTTTTGTCGTTTATTGTTTAATAAAAATTAAAAATAAAGCAGCTGAAAGTCCAGTCCAAAATATATATCAAGCTCATAAATTTCCCTATAATCAACGAAAGTGTGGTAAAGCATTAATGTAATTATCTTCACTTTTCTAAAAGCCGCCGATATTATGTTTGGCACTATATTATCAAACTGCAAATATTTTACTGAGTGTACAAAACTAGTGTTTTAAAATTGAAAGAGGGCATTTCAAAGATACTATTATTTCTATTATTATTATTATTATTATTATTATTCTGATTATTATGTATTTTTTTGATAATGAAAGGTATTTACCACGATTAAAGATATACTGGTTACACAACTGATACGTAAAATAATACAAATTTAGTCATCTAATTGTTAATTATTTATTTAATTTTATCATTATATTATATGGTGAGAAATGAATAAAATGTATACTTGTTATGCATATCACAAACGATTTTACGAAACATTTGCTTCAAATCTGGTATAAGTACCCAATTAATACACAATAATGTTCAAGTACATTGTAGTAATGTACAGAAATTAATATAACAAATATAACATATTAGTACTATATCTAAAACCATGGACCATGGTATAAAAAGTAACTAATTAATAATTAATAATTTTACAATTTTTGAAACTTATCTTGTGACCACGTTTTAAGATATACCTTAAATATCTCGTAAGCCAATAAGCTAATGTCGTGAATACTGATAACTATGTAAACGGTTTCAATTTTTTTCCACCAGGAGCGCTAAGTTTAGTTCTACATGCATTTTCATGACCAATCGGAAAGAGCCATTTTTAACTGACTAGTTGTGTAACTAGTATATCTTTAATCGTGGTATTTACACTTATTCATAACCAGAGTTAGAGCAATAAAACAACATCATGTCTCCGGTAAAATCATAATAGTCGTCATCGTTCATCAAAGTGACGTTCAGCGTTGAACACGACATCTGCATCTGCCTGAATGAGCAACTCGTTCAGTCTTCTTATTCATTAGTAAGTACCTTACTTTTTACTCTGAACCCCCCCTCGACTACGAGGCAAGTGAACCCGCTGGTTCGCACCGCCGGGTCGCGTCTGTGCATGGTGCACGACGGTTCCACCTCTAGTAATAATGACAAGGGTAAAGAAAAACGTTCCACGCCGTGGTTCCGACCCAAATCTTCTTCCTCCTCAAAAGGTTACAATCAAAAGGCCAACTTCATCGGCTTCTTCACTTCAATCGTCAACCAAAAAACAAAAACAAAAAGATATTGAATCTCTTTCTTCTGATTCCGAATCAATGTCGTCCATTTCAGAACTAACCTCAACTGACCAAATATCAGGTCTACCAGGATCTCTGCCAACTAGCATCCGTTCTTCTTCTCCGGGAAAATCAATCTCCAACCGCTCAACGCCTACTCCCACTCAAGACATTCCACCTGTCGAACAAAAGATCAAACCTCCTCCACCACTAATCACTTCTACCTCAGCATGGAGGAAAGCAACGTCCAAACTTATGAAAGCAGTTCCTATTGACTCGATAACAGTCAAAGCTTTCCGGAATGACTCGGTCAAAATCCAATGCACTGACTCTGATATGTTCAGAATTGTCCAAAAATATTTCAAGAACACTGAAACTGAATTTTTCACGTTTCCAAGTCCCGAAGAAAAAACACTCAAAGTCGTAATCAGGGGCTTGCCTACTGATATCTCTGACATCGAACTCTCCGAAGAACTAGTATCCAAAGGATACGAAATCTCTGCAGTCCGCCAATTCGTTAAAGCCGGCAAAAAATTGCCCCTTCATATGGTCTCCTTACCAAACAACCCTGCCAGCAAGTCAATATTTAGGGAATCTTCATTCTTTTATATCTCGGTAAAGGTAGAAGCCTACAAAGCGACAAACCCAGCCCAGTGCTTTAATTGCCAACGTTTTGGTCATTCCAGCATCTACTGTGGGTTTACCCCAAGATGCGTGAAATGTGCTGGATCCCACCTGGCTAAAGACTGCCCCAAGACCCTAGAACAGACTCCCAAATGCATTAATTGTGAAGGCCCTCACACAGCCAACTACAAACAATGTCCAGAATTCTTAAAGACTAAAGCCGCTAAGCAAGCATCCCTACCCATGTTCAATCAACAACGCGTTCAAACAACTCTTTATCGACCTCCAGCAACCATCACTCCTCCATCTAATGAAGATGCTATAATCCGCCCTCAGTCATACGCAACTGTAGTTGGCCCTAAGCCTTCAAAATTATCAAGCCAGCCTGTCAATCCAGAAGCCATCCAATTGCTCACTAATCTGCTGTCAGAGCTCACAGCCGGCTCCGCCAACATCAGAAACGTTCTCATCTCTACTCTAAATGCTCTTATCCCCCTTCTCCTATCTCACAATGTCTGACACCAGAATCTTGTTTTGGAACTGTCAAGGCGTTGCTCGGAAACGCCTTGAACTTCTCGACCTAGTCCAGAGGAAAAAGGTTGACATTATTCTTTTAAATGAAACTCACCTTGCTTAAAATAGCCAATTTAATCTCCCTAACTTCTTTTCTTACGCAACCAATAGACCACTAGTGAATGGCCACCCTCCAGCCGGAGGGACTGCTGTCCTAGTTAACAAGAAATTTATTCATCACCATGTTAAAATCATCACAACATCCATCAACAATACGGCAATCGTTATCCAAATCAATGACGCGGAACTTACTCTTGTCTCGGCTTACAAAAGCCCAGGCACCCAACTTGTAACATCAGACTTGGACATCATTCTAGACTCAGGTCAAAACGTTATAAACGCAGGCGATCTTAATCACATCTAGCGTGGAACAGTAGGTCCACAAATACTGCAGGTAGAACATTATTTAATTATCTAGACTCGAGGCTAGACACAACTGTTACAGCTCCTACCTCTCCAACTCGTTATCCAACAAACCCAAATCACAATCCAGACGTTCTTGACATCGCCATAATAAAGGCAGGTAGTCTTAGCTATCATTTGGAGAACCTTCCAAATGAACTGTCATCTGACCATTCTCCTATTCTGCTAGACATCCATCATCGTTCTGCTCACATATCTCCGCCTAAACCTCGCTACATCACCGACTGGATTAAATACGAACTTTATATGCTCTCCAAGCCATTTTCTCTCCCTGAAATTCTCACAGAGGAACAGGTTGACTCAGCTATTCAGCATCTCTCCAATTTCATCTCCGACAACGTAAAAATCAACTCCACAATCCACAACCCATCTGACAGAAAAACTGACCTTCCACTATCGATCCAATTCCAAATAACCAAAAAATGCAGGCTAAGATCCATCTGGCAGAGGACCAGGAACCCGGATATAAAAACGCTACTTAACCGACAAAATCGTTTAGTCAGCGATCTCCTACAATCAAATCGCGACGAAGAGTGGTCCAATTTCCTGTCCTCAATCGATATTGGTCCCCAAGGGTGGTCCCGACTTTATAAGCTCAATAGACGACTTCTCAGGAAATCTCCATCTTCCCATCCACTTAATGACGATCATGGTTTCCTCCACTATGATTCACTCGAAAAAGCCAACATCTTCGCTTCAAGCATTTAAAATCAATTTTCTCCTCTGGCTAGTACTTCGTGGGTAGACGAAATAGTACAAGACACCCTGGAACAACACTTAAACTCGATATACGACAAAAACATCTTCTTTTCTCCAGGCGAAATCTGGAACAATCTTCGCAAACTCCCCAATAAAAGCGCCCCTGGGCCTGACCTTATATCTAATTGTGCTCTCAAACGTGGGGGGAAAAAACTTGCGATCTACTTGTGTAAAATATTCAACTCTTGCACTCGTCTAGAATATTTTCCCAACCAGTGGAAAATTGCTGATATAATTATGATTCCTAAGCCGAAAAAAGACCCAAAAATCCCAACCAACCACAGACCTATATCTCTCCTGAACACGATGGGTAAACTATACGAGAAACTCTTACTCTCCAGATTTAAAAGTCACATATTGCCTCAAATCAGACCTGAACAATTTGGCTTTCGCCCCCAGCACAGCACTGAAATTCAACTAGTCAACTTCATAGACAACATAACAAATAATATGAACAGAAGGCTAAAAACAGCAGTAACTTTCCTTGATATAGAAAAAGCTTTTGATAAGGTATGGCACGAGGGCCTTTTATTCAAACTCCTGGCTATGCAAGTACCTCAACAGCTGGTCTCCATCATTCAGTCATTTCTCAAAGAAAGGAAATTCTCCATAAAAATCGACGATACCAGATCTTCCCCCAAGACCATAAGAGCTGGAGTCCCTCAGGGGTCATGCCTCTCTCCGCACCTATTCTCCGTATACATCAACGATATGCCATTATCCTCCAAAGCCAAGATAGCCCTCTTCGCTGACGACACATTATTTTACGCTGATAGCATATCCCAATCGTGTGCAATTAAAAACCTTCAAGCCCAGATTGATCTCTCGATCGAATGGTTCCATCAGTGGAAAATATCAATCAATCCACTCAAGACCTCAGCCATTATGTTCAGCAACAAGCAGACTAGAGCGGGAGATTGCGTAAAATTTGGCGACACTCCCATCAAATGGTCAAATAACATCAAGTACCTAGGGGTCACCATAGATAAAAAGCTATCTTTTAGCACTCACGTAAAAAACATGATCACCAAACATTCCCTTTTTCCCCTTATTAATAAACGCAGTCCTCTTTCAACCATTTCAAAACTACATATATTCAAAACCTACATCAGACCTATCCTGACCTATGCGGGACCTGCATGGACGGCAAATATTTCCAATAGCAGCTGGGCAAAACTAGAGGCAGTTCAGTCTACTACCCTGCGTCAAATTACTGGACTGGACTGGTATGTCTCCAACGATACCATCAGATCATCCTTAAAGACTCCATCACTAAAAGATCACTTATCAAAAAACAAAGTTTCACTTACTCAACGCATCATAAACTCAAGCTTCAAGCACATCTCCGACATTCTCTCCAAAAACTCACCCAAGGAGCACTTCATTAAAAAACCACTTTCTCAATAATAGCTAATCTTTAAGCCTAAACTCACCACTCTCAATTCTGTACTTCCTCCTCTCTGTAAGAAGCTAAATGCTTGAAACAGAGTACTCTAACAAAGCAAAGCAAAGCAATAAAACAAGATACCTTTTCCCATGTTCGAGATTGAAACCGAATGATTATTTTAACGGTAACCAAATCCGTAACCGGTTTTTTTATATAGTGATAAACCGATTTTTATATAACACGATTGATGATTCTTATGTTATATAGGAGTATCCGATGGTCAATATTCTTAAAATATAACGATTAGACTATACAATTTATTTTCTGTATAATATATATAAATTTAATTCCACTTAAAATAATGTTATATTCTTTCAATATTTGTTGGGGCCTCTAAATATCATCAGTTACAATATCAATAAAATAAATAAAAAAAAAAAAACTGATACCTAGATAAATTATGATTTTAAATTTCATAGAATAAATAATAGTTAATGATGTTTAGTGTTGACTAGTTTGATTAAATGTTTCAATACTTATAAGTTATAACGTATTGCAATATGCCTCGCTATTTTTTCACTCAGACATACTATTCTAATTCCAACAATACATCGCAACGAATACCTCGATTTGCATATTCTTTTTTTCCCACAATATGAGCTATATGTAATGTATTTGTAAAATTGTATTTAGTTAATTAAATATTTCAATTCTTTGAATTTTTATTGTAATTTTAAGTACAAAAATTTAAAATGTGGCTCGATCGTTTAGGTTGTACAAATTAAAATTTTGTGGTTACAAACCTGCACAAATGATTTAACAATCGTTGACGCAGATTTGGGGTGTTTAAGTTAAATATTTCAAAAAGTGGGTGCTGGAGTAACGTTACGCTGGCACCCGCGTTTTTGTAATGGATTTTTCAGGTGTTTTGGAGGTTGTACAAATTAAAATTTTGTGGTTACAAACCTGCACAAATGATTTAACAATCGTTGAAGCAGATTTGGGGTGTTTAAGTTAAATATTTAAAAAAGCGGGTGCTGGAGTAACGTTACGCTGGCACCCGCTTTCTTTATAACATATTTTTCGGTGTTTGGGAGGTTGTACAAATTACAATTTTGTGGTTACAAACCTGCACAAATGATTTAACAATCGTTGACGCAGATTTGGGGTGTTTAAGTTAAATATTTCAAAAAGCGGGTGTTGGAGTAACGTTACGCTGGCACCCGCTTTCTTTATAACGTATTTTGCGGTGTTTGGGAGGTTGTACAAATTAAAATTTTGTGGTTACAAACCTGCACAAATGATTTAACAATCGTTGACGCAGATTTGGGGTGTTTAAGTTAAATATTTCAAAAAGCGGGTGCTGGAGTAACGTTACGCTGGCACCCGCGTTTTTGTAATGGATTTTTCAGGTGTTTTGAAGGTTGTACAAATTAAAATTTTGTGGTTACAAACCTGCACAAATGATTTAACAATCGTTGACGCAGATTTGGGGTGTTTAAGTTAAATATTTCAAAAAGCGGGTGCTGGAGTAACGTTACGCTGGCACCCACTTTCTTTATAACGTATTTTGCGGTGTTTGGGAGGTTGTACAAATTAAAATTTTGTGGTTACAAACCTGCACAAATGATTTAACAATCGTTGACGCAAATTTCGATTGAAATTTCTAATATGCGGGTGCCAGCGTAATGGACCTACGCTCGTCTTGATAACTAGCCTTAATCCATTTCTTTTTATAATCGCTCTTAAAAAATTTTAAAGAGTGACTTAAGACATTTTTTTTTTCCTCTGGACAATTTGTTATTTTCATAAGTTTTTCTTCCAAAAACAAATACTTTTCCTCTAAACTCTTACCTTTACAATCTTTTAATATTTCACATAATTGGCTTCGAGAAAATTTCTTAGACGTTACCTGAGAAGCTGCAAGTCAAAAAAACAAAAATACTTCAAATTTAAGATTTAATAAAACATTTTCTGTAACAAATTCTATAATATTCAACATAATAAAATCTGCAAAATTCTTCTAAAAATAGCCCTTATATAAGGAAAAGTTCATAACTTTCATTTTAAAAATAAATATAGATTGTAATACAGTTTTAATACTGTCTGAATTTTAGTTTTTTTAAAACTATCAAAGAACCATGTATTAAACATTTTGTTGTTGTTTTTCTCTTGTAACTCTATGTTATATCAGTTTATAGAAAAAATGTATATGCCAAATTACCTTACAAACAATATTTTGTATAAGAAAGATATATCAATCATACTCCTAGGGTTTTTTTTTAATATGAAGTCATTTACAGAAATATAAGAAAAAAATTGAGCATCTTAGTAGATAATAATAATATCTTTGATATGCTCAGAATCAAAATGGTGGATGTGGGCGGAAAATGTTATGGTAGCTTATTATAAATAAATGTCCCGGTTTAATGCCCATCAAAAAAATATACTCCGACAAAACCATACTTATTAACAAAAACACTATTATCTAATAATTGTTGGTTAAAATTAACAGCCATATTAGACTTCATTAAAATAGTTCGTAAACGCATAATATAAGCAGTGTATCAATACATTTTTGCTACAAATTGAGTACGTACCTTCCTTTTCCATTTTCAAAATAATTTTTTTCCAATTCAACCACGCAATATCAAAATATTAAAAGATAAAAACAAATATAAATGAAAGTGCCGAAAACCAATTATATGCGTTTCGGACAATAACTAGATTACGACTGACTATGCGACGAGTGGCAAGCGTTTAAGAAATTTTACTGATAACCATTTGACAGACCGATTAGGTGGCTTTAATAATCGTAGTGCTAACGACTTTTTTGATTAACTTGCTGATTGTGACTTATGATCGGTTATATAATACAAATACTCCTATGTGTAGTTTTGAATCGTGAAATTGTAATAAAATGATTGCTTTTTCTTCTTCACTATATTCTATATTTGCACATATAATTATTTCTATAACTGTTTTGCGAAATATGTATCGTAACATCGACCTTACTTTTTCCCATTCTAAATCATCGTATTCACCTAGCTTGTTCATGGCTAATTTATTCAAATTGTTTTCCTTACAAAATAGTTTTAGTTTGATCAAGGATATATACATGTTTTCGTAAGTGGCCTTCTGTCGGTTTTTATTTTTCATTACCAAGAATATTATAAACCTGTTTTCCTGTTTGAAATAGGGTGTGTCTCCTATTACTAGTAAAGTCGGCAATATTGTACCGTTTCCAAATTGTTTTTTCAACTGATAATTTGTTCCTGTCCTAAAATTATATTGCTTGGCAATTTCTGATACTATATTATATTCTTTTGGTGAATCGATTAGTGTACCTATAGTTTCTTTTACATTACTATTTGTGATAATTTGTGTTCCTAACTTTTCGATATATTGTTCGTATGATTCGTTTTTTTTTTCCTGAATTGAATATATGCGTGGGAGAGTATCTACATTTGAATTTAGAACTCCGGTTTGTGACGTACCTATTTGTAATTGATTTGTTTTAGCGGCGAATGAATTAAATGTTATATGATTATTTTCTAAGGTT